GTGTGTGTGAGTGTGTGTGTGTGTGTGTGAGTGTATGTGTGTGAGTGTGTGTATGTGTGTGTGAGTGTGTGTGTGAGTATGTATAGTGTGTGAGTGTGTGTGTGAGTGTGTGTGTGTGTGTGTATGGTTGTGGGTACAGTTATGTATGTTTCAGATCTCCAGCTTGAGTGACTTATGTGCCTTGTATTAGTGGCTAGAGCCATCCGTGTTCCTGCCTGGGCTGTGTATGCTTGGTGTCTTTGAGGCCTGACTGGCCCCTTTTCACTCTGGACTTCCACACTTTTAGAAACTGCCCAGCCTAATAAGAGCAGGGTTGGGGTGGGGAGAAAGACAAGCTCCTCTTTTGACTTGGAACTGTGATGCTTCTCAGGGCGCTCTGCCAGCCCAAGGATCTTCCACACGTGCAGCTCCTGGGCTGCGTTCTTGCACACCGGGTCTGAAGGATCCACAGAAAGGGACAAGGTTCTAGGAGAGCAGAGCTGAGGGTGGGTGGCCCCTTTCAGGGAAGCCAGGCAGAAATAAGTGCTGCTTGGCGAAGCCATGTGTTTTCTGTGTGGCTGTCTGGCCTCATTACGACTCAGTCCATCAGGCTGGCAGCTGCCTCGCCTCAGTTAGCCCGACAAAGTCAGGCAGCAGGATGCGGTGTTTTTCCACTGGACTGGAGCTATGCAGCTTGGCTCATCCCCTCTAGGCCCCAGGAGAGCCCTGGGGCTGGAAAGGCCTTTAGAAGCTGGCAGGAATGCAGAGAGGGGATCTGGGATTTTGTCCTCTTACCATACTTCCTTTCTGAAACCGTAGGACTTGAAGTCCCTAGCAGGAGCATTTGTCTTGGATTCTTAGACACAGGGTCCCTGTGGTCTCCAGCAAGCCAGCCCACTGCCCTCCCTCAGAGGGGCAGAAATGAGGGAATCTTGGCCTGGGCACACTCTCCAGCTATATCCAGAACTTTCTCTAGATGTAGTTCACATGGGTACATTTTTGGGGGCAGGTGCAATTGTCTTGAGATAATTAGGGTAGAAGCACCCATTTTCTCTGAGACACTTGAGCAGACACAGGCTTCCCACCCAGCCCTCCCTAGGCATTTCAGCCTGCACTTCTGGAGGAATTAGACTCTTGAAGAAACTTCCACTGTAAGAGCCTGGCTGGGGGCCAGATTCCTGATGAAAATGTGCTAAATGTGTGTCTGATGTCTAGCCAATGTAGATCTTCTCTGTCACCAAGGGATCACCAGTGGAGCTATCGCCCAGATACTGGAGAGGGTCAAGTCCTGGCTATGTAGGCAGGTACAGGTGACCCATCTTTTTGCTGTCATCTTTGTGATAAGTGCATGTTTGTGAGCCCTGACAACTGTGGGTAACTTACATGCAAAACAGCAAGACTGAGGAGAGTGTGAGTCCCTGCTGCCTGGGGACCAGATACTGACCCCAGACCTCTTGAGTGATAGTCACTGCATTTTTTGTGATCTACTGTCTTATCTAGAAAGTGAGGTCTCAAGGCTTCAAGAAGCCATGCCTCAGAAAGATGGAGAAGGTCAGGATGAGGTGGGAGCTTCAGATGCTGCTGACTGGAAGCTGACTCGAAGAGTAGGGACTCTAGGAACAGGCCAGCTCAGAGAGGCTGCAGGCAATGCCAGTGGGAACAGGGAGATACTGGCCCAGGAGCACGCTGTCTTGATTGTGTAACAAGATGCTTGACAGATGGGCTGCAAGGCAGGTGGCATTTCCTAAAACCATGGTTAACTCGACTTTCCCATACTCTCCTTCCCTCTTTCCTCCCTATGACTTGGATACATTACTTTGTCTTCATTCTTAAAGAGGGCTATGTAGTGCTGAATTCCTGGGGTTGTTTTAACAGTCTCATGAAGTGATACATAGAGAGTGCTTGTCATCAGTGCCAGGCACTTGCTGAGGACTCCTGTGCCCCCTTTTAAAATCTTGAATGACTGCTCTTCCAGAGGACCTGGGTTCAATTCTCAACAGCCACATGGCAGCTCACAACTGTCTGTAACTCCGGTTCCAGGGGATCTGACACCCTCACATAGACATAAATGCAGACAACACCAGTACACAAGAAAAAAAAAAATCTTGAATGTCACTGCACTGAAAGGTTTCCAAGCAAGGATTGCTCGATTCAGTCATTCACTTCAAGTGCAGTACTCAGATGAGGTCCACATGGCTGTAGGTTTCCCAGCCATAGGTATACCAGGCAGTGAGCTTGTGTTCAGGCAAGCTTTTACACAGCTCCTACCAGGTGAGGGTTTTAATCTGGCTTGAGGTGAGATCATTGTGGGAAGAGGTCCCACCGTGAACGTGCTGGCGAATGTGTTCTATGAGACTGGCGAGGGTCTAGGAGAGAATAAAAGTCAACGGTAGGAGGGCAGTGGCTGTAACCGTGGAGCACAGGTGAGGAGGTAGACGTGAGATTCAGGCATGCAATGAGTAAGCATAGCTATCCTTTGGAGAAGCACCAAGCCTGGTTGTAGTTTCTGAGTCCAAAGACTCAACATCTAACCCTCCCGCCTGTTGTTCGTCCATCTCTACCATCCAGGCTGCTTTTGCCCCCTGGCATGGCCTCTCCTGAAACCCAGAGAAATGTTTTTTCAATGTTATTTTCCTAGCAAGTGCTGACCTGGGTTGGTGCTCCCAACAGCTTAGGCCATCCTGTTTGGCGATGATATGGTCCCCATTTCCTGTGAGAAATATGGCAGGCTTCCTGAGTTTGAGGAGGCATCAGGCGGTCACTGGCTTATTTTCTCCCAGGCTGAGCCTCATTGCTCATCTTGCTGCCTTCACAGCCTTGCCAGTGCAGGAGCTCCATGTCAGTAGGTGTCAGGTGAACTCCTAGTTGGTGGATGTAGCCCAGTGGTGACAGTAGTGATGGCAGCAGTGGCTGAAAACTCCCCATGCATCCGTGCACAGGCTCATATGCATGCAGTGTCTTGTTTATAGCTCCCAACATTGAGGGGAGCTCAGTGTCATTGTCAGTTTCTAAATGGGGAAACGGAGGCACCACTGTGTCTTGTCACCTTTTATTTGAAAGTAATTAGATTTTCATTTAAATAACTGCCTGGCTGTAGATGCATGGCTCTGGGTCCCTCCATAGAAGCTGCTTATTGGTCTCCTGGTTTCTTTCTGTCCTCTTGCCCTGGCAGGAGGGGTAGATTCCAGCACTCTCTCAACTCACACATCTCAGTGCGGAGGTCAGACATTTTTTGGTGAGTGAAAACCTGGGCTTCCCTGTGTGCATTCCTTTGCCCTGCCCCCAGTAGGTCTTCATCTTGTTGGTTAGGAAGAGATTCGAGCCAGCTTCTGCAAGAATGTAGGGAGATCCGCCGAGCACAGAGGAAAGCCAGGAGCACAGCACAGAGGAGCCCTGGAAATGTCAAGTGGAAAGAAATGGCTATATTTGGCTGCTGCCTTCCTCTTATTCTCACTGTGCCCCGGGAACCTCTTAGTCACCATTCTTATTGCAGGATGGTTCAGTGGCTTTGGATGTGGTGACTGGCTGAGCTTCCTAAAACTACCTGTGCCTACACGTTGCTGCTCTGTGTCCTGCTTCTCTCTCCAACCTTCCTCTCCTGTGTCTTCCCCACGCCCCGGAGGAGGTCCCTCCTATCAGTCCTTCTCGTCTAAGAAATGTATGCCAGCCCACTTTGCCTGATTGAATCTCACAGCTTCTCAAGGGGTCTGAAGAGGGGCAGCCCCCATCACAGCACGGCCACTGCTGCCAGTCACACGCATGGCAGCACCCCATAGCCATCCCTGAGTCTGACTTCTTCACCCATAAGCTTTATTTACATAGTCAGGTAGTTAGGGTCCTGGCTTCTGACCACTTGTAGTCTCATCTGCCCCAGCTGTTGGGACTGGCCAAGGCCAGGGCAGGTTAGTATCTCACATCTGCCTATTGTGGCAGTGGTGCCGGCGTATTCTTGGCCCTGTCAGAATGAGAAATCCTCGTGTAGTTCATGTCCAGGCGTCACCAAGCCTCTGAGGTCCTCATTGCTCCAGTGGGTAATATTTCTTTCCCTCCCTCAAGACTCCTACTATGGTCCTCCTCTGTAGAGCCTGCAGACCCTGAAGCTTAGCCGGGGATCCCTGGCCTGCAAGGAAAGAGGAGCCACCTAAACACATTCCATAGGGCATGCCTGTGTGCTCTGTGTCTTCATGTACCTAAACATGTACCCTTTCTCATTAGCCGGCTGAAGCCCTCAGATGCCCAGAGAACCCACTGCCTTGCCCTGGCCATTGCAGACATCCTATGGCGCGCTGGAGGCAAAGAGCAAGCCGTGGTCGCACTGTAAGTGGTCCTGGGTGTCATGTTGCATTGACTCTCCAACTTGTTCCGGCCCAGCTGATGGATGGCTGAGGCTGGCCTGGTCCTGGACAGAGAGTCTGCATGCTGGGCTCTGCTGATGTCCAAGCTCCAGACTCAGGAAGGAGGAGGTGCTCCTTCCTTCCTGCCACCCAGGACTTGGGAAGCACAGGCCCAAGTCTGTGAGCCAGGCACTCAGTTCCCCTCAGTATTTCCCTGATCCTGAGGCCACAGGCTTGCTCAGCTGTAACATCATGAATCTGTACCACCATCCAAGACCCCAAAGCATACTTTTACCTGTTTCACTTGGACCTTATGCCAGTGAGGATGAGATAGAGAGGTGAGCAAAGGCTGCAACCTAGATGCTGGATTCTGTTACCTTGACAACAGCTCCATCTGGCCCCACAGTCCCTTAGGTAGTCTTCTGGGTCTTCAGCCTTGCCCCTCAGGGTGGAAACATCACTTTGCCCCAGCTCTGTGGCTAAGCTTTGGTAAAGGAGGTGGTTTGGGGACCAGTTTGGTTACTTTAGCATAATGCTTAAGAAAGGGTGCTCTCTAAAGCAGACTCTCCAAACTGTTACTTGTTGGATGTGTAACCTTGGGAATTGACCTCACCCTCCCTATGCCTCATTTGCTGACTTGTTTAAAAAATGGGGGTGATAATGATAACTTAATGATTGTGAGAACTAAATGAGTAAGTAGAAATAAATGATATGTATTAGGTATAATAATGTCATCAGTATGAATCATTTATTAATGTAAATAAATGGTGGGTAATAAATGTGATGTGCTTCGGGCAGTATCTGTGTACCAGTTGTAGTTAGGGTCCTCGGCTACTGCTACCTGCTTTATGCCAGGCAACTTATTAACCTTGGCACATATCTGTCAGGCAGCTCTCAGGGCAGAGGGTCAAGAACTTAAAGAACAGGAGCCCAGAGAAGAAAGGTGGTATATTCCAGGCCACATAGAAACTGAAGTCAAGTGGGTCCCGACCTGACCCAAATCCTACTCTTAGTCAGGACGGCACTGGGCTGCACACCCATTGTGGTTGCTAGGGGTTGTCTCAGAGGGTGGGGAGGCTTCTAAGAGGATGGCTGGGATTCTTGCCCTGAGTGAAGACAGTGGCAGGCCAGCAGTCCTGCCTCTGCAGATGGTTTGCCAACTGTAAGGGAGAGTCAGGTCTCCTCCTGCCAGACATAGGTGTGGTTGTTCCAAGCTCACCCACCACTGTCTTTTTCCATGCCTAGGACTTGTGGGTGAGTTCATAGCAGGAAAAACGAGAAGCCCTTGGCTTTGCTCTCTCTGGAGCTGTCTGTCACTCCTGTCGTCATTTAGTCCATGGCACATGTGGGCTTTCTGGCTGGAGGGGCGTGCCTTTTCATCTGGTGGAAGACTTATGCACCTTCTTTTCCTTTTTAGGGCTTCAGGAACAGCACACTTCAGTCCAACAGGGAAATACAAAGCAGATGGAGTCTTAGAAACAGTACGGCTTTCTGGAAAACTCTCGTGCCACCTTTGGCTTTGTTTGGGGACTGTCTCCTTTCATTTAAGTAAATCCTCCCCCAGCTGGGGCTGGCTGGCCATCCCTACAGCCCTAGGCCCCTAGAATCCTGCCCTTTGGGGGGTAGGGGAGAGGTGGGCAGTTTGGGGGACTGGTTCTGGTCAGAGCCGGCTCAATGGCTGAGAGGCTCAGTGTCTCCTTATTGCCTCCATGTGCACAAGAGTAGAGGTGCCCCCGGTGCCCCAGTACCCTGTGTGCCATGTCCCTTGCTACACTGGCCTCCCGCCCCTCCTGTGCCTCTAGTATCTTTTCTAGGATTCTCAGGGATGGGGAAAGGCAATGGGATGTAGAAAATGGGGAGGGGAGTTGATAGCATGGGGCAGCAGCCGTGGGCCCAACGTCAGTGCAAGGCTAGGGAAGAGGCAGGAAGACGTGTGTTACTGAAAATGCAGACACAGTGAAGATACTCAAAACCTGATAACTCTTTACTGACTATTTTTATTTTAGCTGATTTGTTTCCTATAACCTAGCCATGCACACATTCGACCCTTGAACCCCTGTTTAGGACCTTGCTTGATTGGATGTTTTCCAGAGATGTGGGTTTTTTTTTTTTTTTTTTTTTTTTTTTTTTTTTTTTTTGGTTGGTTGGTTGGTTGGTTTTCTTCCCCAGATAATGGTTTCCACCATTCTGTGAGTGGAAAATTGTTCCGTGGTGAGTGTTTTATTGGATTTTTTCCAGAGAGGTGGGTTTTTTTTTTTTTTTTTTCTTTTTTGCTTACCTGTTTGAGAACAGCCTGTTGTGTTTTGACCTGGCCTCCTGGCATGGTGACATGGAGAAGTGATTCTTTTCTGCCCCTCCTCCTCTTTGTCCCACCCCCTATCCCTGTGTACAATGACAGGGGAATAGGGGGAACTCTACAGGAGCTCACCCAGCATTACTGGACAGCCCAGAATCACAAGACTCTATGCACTTTCTTTTCTTTCTTTCTTTTTTTCTTTTTTTTTTTGTAATAAAGCCAGGGATACAGGGCCTGACCCAGCGATGGGCACAGTCCCTGGGGACACATAGCTTACCCTGTGTGTGTTTCTTCACAGCTCACACTGTATAGTTTGACCTGCTCTGAGGACCTGGTTACTTTCCTGCAGCAGAGAATTCATCAGGTATGAGCATCAGTTTCCTTGGTGTCATGAGCATTGCTAGGCTTCCTAAGTTCTTTATGGAAGAGGGTGGTAGGTGGAGTGGTGCTCTGGTCACCTCCACCCTGGGGTTGGCAAATAAACTGAGCAGCATATGCTGATGGAGGCTGCAGAGTGTGGGTGTGGGTAGGAGACACAGTTTCCATGACATCCTTGCAGCGATCGTGGTAGTGATCCCAAGGCCCAGGGAGCTGTACCAGCGGGGCTGCATCTGGGATTAGAAGCCAAGTTGAGGCTTGGCTTTCTAGGACTTTCCCTCTGCTGAAGCAAGTAGCTATGCTGGAAGGCTGAACTCTGAATCAGCAGAGAGGGTTCTAGGACAAGCTGGGAGGTGACAAGAAAGCAGCTTCCTCAGTGGGGCTGTAAGACAGGACCTTGCCAGTGTTGTGGGAAGGTGCGCTGGACCACGCAGGACCCTACAGCACCTGGTTTGCTCAAGTGGACTGCACTTCACTGCTGGCTAGAGATTGGCTCCTGGCCTATGGCTAAGCTGGGCAGGAAACATGGGGGTCTTGTAGTTTCCCACGGGCTAAAGCACTAGGGAGTGCATGGAGGAATATCCTACATTCCAGGGACAAAAGACTTGGCTTATGGAGGTAGTCAGCCTGGCTTTGGATCTTGCTTTTGACCCTGAGTGGCCCCGAGACTTGGGCACCATCCTAAAGCTTTCTGTACCTCAGTTACTTCATCTGTCATGTCTGGGTAACAACCTTGCCCTGGCTTCATGGTATGGGCGTGTGAAGAAGGAAGCCCTTTCTGAAGCAGTCCTGCTCCAGAAGGTCAGGAAAGGCTCAGGGTGGGGTGTGGGGGAAGGGAGTGTTGAGTGTTGAGCCTAGGGAGGGAGATTGGCTGGAGGTGGCCCCAACTTGAAGTTCCCACTGTTAGATGCCCTTTCTCAGCACTTTTCCCTGAAGATCCTGAGGGTCTTGGCACAGCCCCATCGGCATCCTGATCCTGACAGACAGATGTTCCCTGGGAAGGAAACAGTCCCACTCTAAGAATAACTGACGACAGGAGTGGTCAAGGGCCACTGGCCCTGCTGAAGCCCTTTAGTCCTAGAGCTGTCACTTCCCATTCTGGGCATCCCAGGAGATCTTGGAGCCTGCACAGTCATCTTGTTTAGGGCATCTTCCCATTGTGTCTAAGCAGAGGGGTCGGTATGCAGAGAGGGTCCCAGACTAGCTGTCATTTGCCCCATCCTTTGTTCTGTCTATGTTTTTTCTTGGAATAATCCTGAAGGGTGTCTGCTAATGGCACAGTTCCCCACCTTGCTGAGAGCAATGAGAGTGTTGGCAACAAGGTCTGAGAGACCTCCTGGGCTTACTGCTGGTTGCATGTGGCCTTGGCCTTGGGAAGCCCTGTTTCCTCATCTAAAGATGGAAGCTGGAGCAGTTGAATAGCTTCTAGAGCAATGAAGACCCTTGAGCACCTGTGGGAAAATGCCTTCTACACAAAGTGCAGGCACTGTGAGTGAGCAGAACCAGGGCTGCCTGTGTCTGATGGCATAGCAGTGTGCCTAGGGGACGCCTATGAAAGGTTGTCCCATTAGGCAGATGGAGCATGGAAGAGAAGGAAAGTGACTGAGGACCAAGGAGGGGCCAGAATGCAGTCCATGAAAGGCTCTTTGGCCAAGTCACTGCCTCTGTGATGGCCCTCAGCACTAGGTCCTCTGTATCCTTGCCTGCAAATAGGATCTCATGCCTCAGCCCATGTCCTGGGGTTTCCGTGAAGCCTGTGCATGACAGAAACCATGAGAGAGTTCAGAGAGAGGGGCTTGCTGTCAGATGAGGGCCCCCTCCTCGGTTCCACCTTTAGGTTCTAGGCATGCCTCTTTGCTAGCCGTGGTTCCTCGGGGCAGCCGGTCTACTTGGTACCTGGCCGCCATTCCTCTGGAAACAGTGCTTTCCCCCACAGCTTAATTTGTATTTTTGCTGGAAGCAGTTGAGCTGCCTCAGCACTGAGCACACCAAATCCATTTTTCATGGGTTGTGCTTAAAAGAGGCTCCTCGTGCCAGGCTTGGAAATGCATGCCACCACGGCCCAAAATAAACAGCCTCCATGTTGTTTTCATTGCTGTTCACCACTTGAGAGGTGTCTGGTGGCCATAAGCCAGTGTGGGAGGCTTCCATCCGACTGCCCATTGGAATACCTTGGTGGGCTTATGTCTTTCCAGGGTCAGAGCTGTGCTGTGAGAATGGTCCCTTCTTCCCAAGCGGTACCAGACATTGTTCCCACCCTTACCCAAGATTCCCGGCCCAGGTTGCCTTTCATGCCATCATGATGCCCTGAGGCCTCCCATGTCTTGGCAGCTTGAATCTGATGAGATAATTTTAATAAATATCTTTAAAAACAAGAAGGAATATTGGTGCCATTCAGTTGTGCCTTGAGAGGGCAAAAAGGCCAAGTTGGACTGGGTTTCCTACTTTTTGGGGGCCCAAAGTGAGCACTCTCTGAGATGTCCACATGGGACCGTGCCACACTGCACAGAAACAGCTTGTCACTGTGCGTTGTGAGTTCAGCTTCGGTGGCTTTCGTGGTCACAGCTATACTGCAACCCTGCAGGGTGAGAGGCCCCACAGGCTTGATTGAGCTCCCCTACACAAAGAGTAAGGCCATCGTGGAAGGGAAGACAGAGGTGATCTTGGTGACTCCCCTAAGGCCACTGCAAGTTTGTATCAAAGCTACACACAGGATTTGCCATCCAAGTCCTGCCAATCTTGTGTCCCCTGAGTGGGGACAGCAGCATTACTTTGCAGCTGTCACATCTACAGGAATTGTCTTTGAGAACATGCACTGTAAATAACGCAGGAAATCTGAAAGGCGTAGCACCAAGTGCTGGTTTGAGGTCATAGGATTTAGATGAGTTTGAGTGATGCTCATTCATTTGGTTTGTTTATAAAAATGAGTGGTGTTTACAGAATGGGGGGGGCTCTCTGGTCCCCTCTGGCCGGCATATGCGCCTTTGCTCTCTGGGCCCTTGGGCCTTTGCACTTTGCTTGTCTGAAGCAGTGGTCACTTCCGTTTTTGTTGCCTTTTAGACTCCTGTTAGACACCACACCTCCAGAAAGCCCTCTCTGAACCTTTCTTTCTCCACATTCAGCTTCGTGTGTGGCCTTCCTGAGGTTTTCAGAGGAGCTTACAACCCATTGCAAGCCATTCTCCACACTTTCCAAGTTTTTTTTCTTTCTTTCTGAGTCACCCCCCACTGAGAAGACACATGCTCACCGCTTCTTAGGTAGCCCCTTAGTAGAGACCAGCCTCTTGTATTGTTTATTTTGGAAACAGGTTCTCTCTGTATAGCTCAGGTTGGCCTCACAGTCATTTATAGCCCACAATGGGCCTGAGCTTGCACTACTCTCAACCTGCCAGTGCGGAGATCACAGATGTATACCACTGTGCCTAGACAGAATGTGCTTGTGGTACAGGAACTTCAGTCTCTGTTTTTATGTTCAGTTAGCTGACGATTTGAATTGCAGGTTGAAAACAAAGCCTGTACTTTGAAGGAAAGATAACTTTATTAGAACCTTGAGCTGTCGTAGTTTCCACACTGGAATACTATATTTGATTCTGAGTTTCTTGGTGACTGAGGAAGAAATGAAAATGTACTCAGTTAAACCATTCTTGTTGAAATAGCCATTTCTTCTTTTAGCTTTAAGTCCAAAAACTATTGTTGACATATAAGGAGTACTAACTATTATAACTGCATCTTCGGACACAGTTGATCATGCCCTAAGTGGGATGAGTCAGATTTTATAGTGGTGTGGGGCTGGGAACTGTTGACTCTCCATCTTACTAGACCATTGTCTTAGGTTTCTGTTGCTTTGATAAAATGCCATGACTAATACAATTTGGGGAGGAAAAGGGTTATTTTGATTTACAATTCTCAGGTCATACTCTGTCATTGAGAGAAGTCAGGGCAGGAACTGAAGGCAGGAGGCTGGAGCAGGAATCGAAGCCTCAGAAGAATGCTCCTTCCTGGCTACCTCCCCGTAGCTTGCTCCTCCTGATTTTTTATTTTATTTTTAAACATTTTAAATTTTTACTTTTATCCATCTTATTGAAAATACTATTTTCTCACACAGCATCCTGATTACAGTTTCCCCTCCCTCTAATCCTCCCTGCCTCCCCTCCCGTCTGAATCCACTCCCTGTCTGTCTCTCATTAGAAAAGAACAGGCTTCTAAGAAATAATAATAAAATATGTTATCAATCATCAGTCAATAAAATGCCGTACAGACTTGCTACATACAGGCAGTCTGGTAAGGGATTTTCTCAGTTGAACATTTTCTTATCAGATGTCTCTAGCTGGTGTCAAATTGCCAAATACCAAAACAAAACAGTAACAACAATGAACAAAAGTAACCAGCACAGCTCTGGTCCCAGGGGTAATGGGTAGGTAGTGCAGAGCCAGAAGTGTTCCATAGTGTACCAGAGTCACTGTGGGTGCCAGGCAGACCCTGCTCTAACCATAGTGTACCAGAGTCACTGTGGGTGCCAGACATGCCCTGCTCTAAATGCTTTACAACTTGCTGTAAGCAGAGACTCCTACTTTACCTGTAGTTTACAGTGTAGAAAAGACGGTAGGGACCAGGAAGTTCAGAAGCACCTCTGCAACCATGTGGTTGGCTCAAAGTGGCAGAGCCAGGAGACTAGGGAGAAAAACTAAGATGCAAAATAGACAAGATGCAGCACCAGCAACATTTTAGTGTCAGATAAGGCAAACCCAGATAATCAAACTTGTGTATTTTAAGACCATTTTGAAATAGTAACTTTGTAACAAAGCTGGGCACTCCCTGGTTTCAGGTGGATCCCAGCGCTGTTCTACAGATGCTGTCTACTTGCTGACTGCATAGCTCAGTTCTTCTGTATAGGGAGCTGGGGGGCCTTAGGCCTTCACTGCGTTGCACAGGAGCCGGGCGGCCTCATTCTCTGGTAGACAACAATAACAGCAGAACTCAGCTCCCTTCTGTCAGGGTCAGAGGTGACAGTAGTCCCAGAATGGAACATGTTGTCACTACTGCTAGATCTGGGCTTTGGTGCTTCTGAGGTCATATACGGTCTCCATGATGGCATTTGTGTTGCCCGGGTTTTGGGACTCAGCTCTGTGCTCCTCTGTGCTTTTGAAGGCTTGGCTGAGAAGGTCTGAATGGGACATATTCTCTATAGCTACTGACCAACCTCTGTGACTGGGCTGGAAGCCATGAAGCCATGGCCCTGGCAGGCTTTCCCCGAGATAAGGCTGCACAGGTGCCTCGAGGTGGCAATATGTATTTGACAGGTCCTCTTTCTTCCTCCCTCAGTTCGAAGTGGGGCCCTATGGCTGCATCCTGCTCACCTTGTCTGCCATCCTGTCCAGATCCTTGGAGCTGTGAGTATCTCCCTTCATCCCGGGGCAGGGGCTGTGTGTCTTGATCCCTGGACAGCATTTGATGGCAGCAAGGAGGGAGAGCTGGCTGTGGTGGAGACGAGTGGTCACAGTCTATATATACATCTTCCTGGGGTTACCTTCTCTGTGGCCTTCCCGTGTGCATGCTAGGGACAGCAGGGGAGGCCCCTCCCTCCCTCCAAGAGCTTCCATGCAACTGCAGTACCAGCAGGCTTGAGAACTCAGTGAGATTCCCCTGACAGGCATGCAGGGGTGGATAATGGAGGCAGAGACCTGGGCCCTGCCATTAGGGAGCCAGCAGATTAATAGCACATGAATTTTCTGTGAAGTACAATCCATTGATCCTCCATTCCTTCCGAGCAGAGGCAGGTCTAGGGTGTGCTCGAGCTATGGAGGAGGGAGTATGGTTAGGAGTACCTGGTGAGGGGGGTTTGGGGAATAGCTCTTAGCAGGTCTGGGGAAAGGATTGAGCCTGGGTTGCCTTGGCAGAGAGCACATTTTTTCCCCTGTTGGTGTCAGCTGGGCTGGTGGCTTAGTGTTGCCTCCCTGGGCCTCTGCTGTGGGTGGGAGGAGGCATGGGGCTTTGCAGCCTCATGCACTGGCCCTCCTGCTGCTTGCCACTGCTGACTTTATTAAACCCGAGTGTGCACAGCACTTTCTAATGGCATTTTATTTCTAATCCTGCCATAATGATATGATTCATTCCTGGTATGGGCTCACATGCACGGAGCCCATAAGCCTTTCTGCCTTCTCCTGGGCTTGGCTTGTTAATCCCTGGGTGGTGGGAGGGCTGCCTGTGGGAGCTTTCAGCCTCCCTGAGAGGAGCTATGCTCTTGGGGACCAAGCCTAGTAGTTCTCACTTCAGCTTCCTCATCTGTGCAGGAGCTTCCAGCCCAGGCTCCAGGTTATCTTGCCTAAGGGTGCACTGGCTGCTGCACTCATTGGAGCAGCCTGAAGTGAGGAGGCACCCTGGCCACGGCCAAGCTCCTTTCTGTAGCCCTGTCCCTCCAGAAGGGGCTCAGGGCTCTGCATCCAAATGATCTTCCCATTGGGCAGAGCAGAGAGCTGTTGCCACCTCTTGCTGACCCATCCAACCTGCCAGGCAGGTCAGGGCAGCCTCCATCCAGGCTTTGCTACTTGTGGGCATCCATCAGGGTGAGGATAGCAGTTGTGGTTCTGCCAACATATGCATGTGCTTGAGCACATGAGCGCGCACACACGCGCGCGCACACACACACACACACACACACACACACACACACACACACACACACTCACTCTCACACAGACACATAGACACTGACTCATAGATAGATAGTGCACAGAGATCTGCACATGTGTCCCATGGACACAGAGGTGCAGTCCAGCTGACTCCAGGGCCTCTGGGCAGGGTAGTTCTATAGGTCGGGGTTCTTCCTTCCCAAGGAGCTGAATAGGACTTGCTGTGGGATGGGCTTTGTCTCACCCCAGTGGTCTCTCCTCACCTTTCTTTAGAGAACACATGCCCATGTGCAGTGAGAATAATGGCAACCAACATCTCCTGCAGCTTCACTGTGCCCAACCCTTTGCTTTGACAGTCACACTGGAGCATGTGGAGTCTCTACCCCACTCCACTGGGTAGGTTCACTATGGTCACTGCGCCTTTAGGAGGTTAATGGTTTGCCCAGGCTACACAGCAAGGCAAGCTGACAGCCAGCTACCAAGCAGGCTGGCCCCACCCATCTTTTCTGGTTTACCGCATGCAGGGGGAATTTTGGGTGAGAGACAGACTCAGGGTCAGGACTGATTGCTCCTCTGGGATGGATCTTCTTCCCCTAAGAGCTGGAGCTTCCTGGGCCACTTATCCCCCATGGTTTGCCCTGTCTTTACTCTACAGGAGGCCCCTGGATCACAGGTAGGGCAAGGTCACCTCTGCTTGGATGCTCCCACCTTGGGCAACCCTCTGGAGCATGAAAGATGGGCTGTGTTCCTGCTGAGTGCTAGCCTCCAATCTATGCTCCCTGCCCAGACTGAGCACCATGGGGCCTGAGGTGGCCCAGCGGGAGGACCGATCCCTGGCCTGGGGTGTCCAGTATGAAGTAAACTTGAGGGGACATCAATTATTTCTGATCTCATCAAGTACAATGAGGCATGTAGACTGAGGGCTTCGAGAACCAGGGCAGAACCATGTAGCCCGGGTGTGGCATCTGCATATACTCTCAGAAGGCTTCGTGAAGTGGGAACATCCCAGCAGAGCTGACCTTGCCTGCCCCACCTGTGATCCGGAGGCTTCGTTCGGAGGCCGGATGGGGCAACAGTGATGGCAGGAGCAGCCCATGCAGTCCCAGTGCTGCTGCCCCGATTCTGAGAGTGATGTTGAAATGACCACAGCCCCAGTTTTGGGGGGACAGCCCTGCTGACAATGGTTCTCTGTGGGGTAGTGGCCCTGGGACTGGGAGAACCCACTTCCCACGTACTACCTTGGGGATCAGCAACCCTCAAAGGTCTTTCTTCATAGACATTCGGACACAGAAGTACAGATGTCACTCTCAGCTCAGGTACCAGGTGACCAGTTGGTGAAACCACAAGTGCAAACCTTTGACAGCTTCATTGTAGATCAAAGGCGCTTGGCTCCACTCCCACTCAGTGCCCGGCCCTTTCTGGACCTTCAGTTTTTTATCATTAGCCGACTAGGATAGGATAGTGCCTTTTAAACTCGAATTGAAATGAAACTAAATCTAATTTATTCCTCAAAAACTGCATGTAAAAATACAACAACAAAAGACACACACATACACACACACAAAAGCCATTACAAAACTCATTGTGTAAAGCAGATGCAGTCAGGTGACTGGTGAGTGGGGAGGTGGTGGGGAGGGCAAGTCCCCTTGCCTGCCCCTCCCTAACATCTGGCATGGCTCTTCCTTGGAGAAATCCCAGCTCTGCTTAAAAACGTAGGCAGCAGACGATGGCCAAGGGCTCTCCTGCTCTGGGTTCTGCGGCAACTTGCAGAATCCTTTGATGCTGTTTCTGAATGGTCTGTTACCACTTTGGATGGTACTTGGCCCTAGGAGCCCAGAGAGTTTCTAATATCAAACGATGCTTAGCCATGAGACCTTCCTAGTTCCTTCCAAACACTGTGTGTGTGTGTGTGTGTGTGTGTGTGTGTTTGTGTGTGTGTGTGTGTGTGTGTGTGTGTGTGTGTGTGTGTGTGTGTGTGTGTGTGTGTGTGTGT